GGTGGCAGCTGCCTTCACAGAAACCATCAATGCCTACTTTAAAGGCGCTGATCCCAGCAGGTAGACATAGATTTCCGATCATTGACTTCTACATTTGCTCAGTTTGAGGCTAACAGTTTGGGCTTGTTCCGCTCTCTGTCCCAGATGTGTGGTAAAGATCACGGGGGAGATGGTGCTGTCCTTCCCCGCGGGCATCACCAGGCACTTTGCCAACCACCCGGCTCAACCAGTTCTCACATTTAATATCAGTAACTACAGCCGACTGGAGCAGGTTCTCCCCAACCCACAGCTGCTCTGCTGGTAGGAAAATGTCACTTAAAAAGAAAAACACGGCCGTGGCTCACTCACAAGGCCGTTGAGCCTTCTGTAAATAAATAATGCACAATATCGAGCCAATGTTTAACTGTGTAGCTCTGATCCTGTAGTGATTCCACGACAGACATTGTAGACTCCAAGGAGTTCTGGGTAAATATGCCAAACCTGATGAGCCATTTGAAGAAAGTGGCTGAACAAAAGCCTCAGGCGACTTACTACAACGTGGATATGATCAAATATCAGGTAACTTTTAGGGAACATTTAATGTGTTTAGCTGTTGTGGGACTTCCTTTTAGTTTCTTTTTTGACTTGATTCTTAGTGGCGTATGTTTTGAACTATAAATCGCATTCCTTTTAGTTTCTTTTTTGACTTGATTGTTAGTGGCGTATTTTTTGGACCACTGTACCTGTACCACTGAAAATGTACATGTTTGTTATTTTCACACTGACAGCCGCTAGAGGGCACTGTAGGCTTGTGTACCAGTATCAGGTACTCCTGTAAGTTGTACTTTTTTACATCCTTTGCCTGGTGCCACATACTCCGGAGCAACTTATATATATTTTTTTCTTCATTAGGCATTTTTTTGCTGGTACGACTAACACCACGGAGCCTCTTAAAGTCCATAAATTGCCAGTTTCCTGCTATCAATGCCTATGCTAAATGTTTGCGGCTATTTTATGAGCTGTTTTTCTTCAAACTATTTGTGCCTACTTTTATGGTTACTCTTATCTAATCTGTAAACCTTACCACATATGTCACATTTGTGTCATTTAATAGTCAAATACTTACTATAGGTTACATGTTAGCTATCTAATATAATGCCCTGGGTCTCCATGTGTTCTAGGTGTCAGCAGATGGGATCCAGTGTACTCCGTTGAACCTGGCTGTCAGCTGGAGAGGCGACGCCAACAACACCGACCTTAGAATAGACTATAAATACAACACTGAGGCCATGGCTTTCCCTGTCCCACTACACAACATCCACTTCCTGGTTCCTGTAGATGGAGGCACAGCCAAACTCCAGACCATGATCCCACCTGCCATCTGGTGAGGGCTTCTTCTTCTGCTTTCAAATTTTCTTCAAATTTTGATCCAATCTACGGGGGGTCCTGTTCTGTTCTAAAATTATATTTAATTTAATATAAACGATGATAATAAATATATTATGTTATATCATAAAATATTTTATTTGCATGAAAACAACTAGTTGACGAGTTTTTAACGCTGTATGTCAGAATGATGCCATAGGTCGAGGACGTCGTAAACCGAGGACCCCCTTGTATTTTGAACCAGGCCTAGCTCGTTCGATCTCTTTAGGAGCTGATTCTAGTTTTTCGGGCTGTTGTAAGACATTCCTTCGTTTCTCCTGAAGGAATCCAGAGCAGCAGACAATACTGTGGAAGATTCCCAGCCTCTCTCATAGATCAGAAAATGGGGGTGAGTGTGGGGTTTGAATACTCCTCCAGTCTATTTCTCTTTTTTCTGTGTTTACTTTAAGGTATTCACTTTTTTTTTGCTTAATTTTTTATGTGTAATTTCAATGTGTGATTCTATCGTCGTGCACGTCTTCAGGCTGCAGGTTTGATACGTAACTGAAATTAAGCGTGATGTTGTTATCATTCAAGAATTACAGCAGTGACATATTTCATTACAAGGCCCTCAGATTTAATTTTCATGTCAAAAAAATCGACTTCACCTCAGTTGACGAGCCAATACATGTTTGCATGTGTGATGATGGTGTTATTTCCTGTGATCGCTGCAGGAGTAGGTGCTCTCCTGGGCAGGTTCCAGATGACAGAGGGTCCCTGTAAACCTTCTCAGCTCTCCGTTCAGTTCACCAGTGAGGGAAGTACTTTGTCAGGCTGTGACATCCAGCTAGTTGGTACTGGTTATCGGCTATCGTTGGTCAAGAAGAGATTCGCTGCAGGTCGGTTTGAGTTAGTAATAATGACGGGTATCTGTGTTCGACCTCTGACCTTTCTCTGACTGTGTCTGTCTCTGCTCCGCAGGGAAATATTTGGCCGATAATTAGTGTCCATGTTTCGGGGGAGGTGCCCGGGAAAGTGGCTATATTGACTGTGAAGACAATGGATCCGTCTACAATGAATCTGAAACTTCATCTTTAGCAGCCATGGTTGACGTTTTTGTACACAACAGTTATTATTTGACTTTTGCATCGTTTTAATTTCTATTCTATATGAGTCGTGCTCAGATTTTAAAAGTCAAATTATTGGAATTCCGATTAGATTTTTTTTTACGTTTTTTTTTTTCGCGCTGATCCAACTTTTTTTTTGGTCTAACTTGACATTACAAATGCACTGTAAAACAAATTGTGAGTGGTTAATATTTACCATTAAAACGATTTTAAATCACAATGGGGGGGAAAATTGAAAAATTTGAATAATGCTGAGTGTATAATAGCGCCTGTTCTGCATTTATATTCCGGTGGGTTTTAGATTTATATAGTAGATATCTGGTTTACACTGCCACCTTAAAGCAGAGATATTTTCCACAATGTGTGAAAGATCTGTAGTGTCATCTCAACAGATTCTCTGCCTCTCTTTAGATGAGAATTGTACATTTCCCATTTTAGGCTAATATTGCCTGTTAAATAATGGCTCCAATAAAAAAAAATAAAAAAACCAAAATTAATAATTTTAGTTTTTATTACATTTAAGGGGGTGTACCAAATTTCCTAGAGTCAGGGTTTGTCCTTTTCAATATCACAAATGGCATTACACCATTAAAGAGCAGACTGGATAGACAGAGTAGCAGCAAAGTGTTGCATGATGATCAAGTGCGAGGGAAATGTGAACTTAGAGTAAATGTCAATGGTATTTGTGGTGGTGGTGTCCTGATTGGTCAGAATCTTGTGATGGTAAAGTGAGACTTGTTACGGAAGCTGCTACTGTGACTGGAACAGTTTTTGGGGTCAAATATTTTATTTAGAAAAAGGCCTTAAGATGTTGAGGATGTACCGATGCAGTTGTGAGTGCCATAGTGCGTCGAAAAGGAGCTTCAGGTTTCAGGGGAAATATCCAAACGGAAAGATGAAAAATATCTGGTGGCAGTTTTGTTTGACTGCGATGTTCGAGGGCCGAGGTCATGACAAAGACATAAAAAAAAAACAAATCACGTCTTGTCGAAGGTAGCACTAACGGTGTTCTAGTTTCCACCCCCCCGCCCCCTGTGTTGAACAAATGTTTTATCGTTTTCTAAGAGCAATATTAAAAAAAACAACAACAACAAAGTGTAAAAAGTGTATATTGAAGAAAAAACAAAAGCTATGTTTCAAATATTTCTCTGGACAAATAGAAGTGTCTGTGACTGTCTCTCGGTTTAACTGATGTCAGCAGCAACGACCATAATGCTTATAGTTTCATGGGACGACCTGCGTCTTCTCCGAGGCTTCTCTTACATATCAGTTTACCGTTCAGAAACAAGCGTAACTGTCGTTCAAATGACTCCAGAACAGTGCGGCATGAAACCTGCATTTGTCCGTTTTCAAGTCTAATCAGTGCAATATCCATTTCACCCCGGTCCTTTTACATCACCTTCAGGAGGTCATCGTCGGATTAGTCTCGCATACGTTTATTGATTAAACCCGTTCTGTGCGTCCAAAATAAAAGGTGTTTTGACATCCTCCTGTGCACAGTCCAAGGCTTTATGTCATACATGTGCATCGTTTTCTGTGAGAACATCACACTGTAGGGAATATTTTTGAATTGGGTGTTTCATTTTATTTTTAATTTTTATTTTTTTACAAAAATAACTTGCGATGAATAATTCTGTTATTAATGTGTTCTTTTGCCTTAATTATCAATTAACTGCAAATCTTTCTTTTATTATTATTATTATTATTAAGGTCCTATTTTTAAACAATATTTGCTGTGTTCGTTTTCCCCGCAACAGACGCAGTATATTTTATTTATTTATTTATTTAACCCTCATTGTACCAGGCGAATCTTTGAGACCCGGTTCTCATTTGCAAAACATGACCTGTATATGCAAAGCATCTCATGTAAATTTCCCATCCAAAGATTTCAAAAATAAATATTTAAAAAAAAAAAACTAAAATCAATTTAATGTTATTCCTGTATTACTTAGTAATAAAAAGGAAATTCAAAATATTTCTCTGTCTTTCTTTTACAACTGCACATAACAAAAGTTCATTATTGCCCATGTCAAGCGCCATAGATATCCTGAAAATATGGCTATAAAAATGAAAGCTATTATTATTATTATTCATTATACAATAAATTTAACAGCAATTTTGTCTGTCTTCTAGCTATTACTGGGACCTATGTTTTATAGCTTTTATGGTGTAAATTTTAGTTTATTTAAAATGTCTTGTTGTCTAAATCTTATTGCCATGTTTAAGTTAAATTAGTTTCATCGACTAATAATATTTATATATATTTATATTTTAGCAAATGTTTATTCTATAAAAATACACTTCATGCGATTTTTATTTTATTACCTTTTTCCAAAATTACAAGTTATTCTTTAGGTTATTTTCATTTTTAGTTACTTCTTCCGCTTCTTCCACTTCCGCTTTTAAGAGTTATCTTTTACAGGTCCACAACTCTCGGGAGCGTATAGTCTCGCGAGACTTTGTGACAGTTTTGGTGACGCAGGCGGCTCCTTGGTTGTCATGGTAATACCCAGCAAGGTGAACGCTAGTTTTGGGGGATTTAGGTCGGTAAGTTTAAACCTTTATCGCTCATGCTTTTAACGTTTTTTTTAAAAAAAGATGTATATGTGTTTTCATTAAAAGTAACCATACAGGTAACACACTTAATAAACGGGCCACTGTGACTATTTTACCAAAATACCAGTGACGTTTTGCGCACTTGTATTTATTTGGTTGTTCTTATCCCGAAAAGACCACCTTCAAAACAGACGAGCTGTCATGTCTGACCAGCTCAAAGACAAACACCAGAGACGAGAGAGAAGGACAGTGAAGGTTCCCTCTGACGGAAGTCATGGAGTCAGAGTCAAAGAAGCTACGATCCGTAAAAATACTGAAAGAGAAATGCTTATTTTTGTTCTGGTTTTCCCGCGTTGTTGTTGTTGTTCTTTTTTTTTTTTTTTTTTTTACTTTAGAAGCGTTTTAAGTAAATAATTTTAGTCCAAATGAGTTTGCCTATTAAGATGGGACTGTTCACCATTTGTTATGATATTTCAGATTTAAAAAAAAAGTCTTTTGTGTTTTTATATCTCCAACACAAACCACAGTCATTCAAAATGTACACTAGTAGTTTTTTGTTTAATTTACGGTCTACGGTTGTGATTGTTATGTTGCTGTTTATCAAACGATAATTTTTTATTTATTTTTTATTAGCTCTGTAAGTATTGTCTCATCCATGGATGAACTAGGGCACCATGATGAAAATACTCGAATGGTGGTTACAATGGAGAACACTTACCAGACGGGTGAGACCACAGCGACTACATCAACACTCTGCCTGCCCTGACCAGCAGCTCTGGTGTAACTCTGTTTGTGTCTCTACCACAGCACCTCACAAACGCTTCCCTGTCCCCGCTGTCACTCACATCCTGAAGGATGTACTCTCCAGCTACCTCCAACAGGAGAAGTACGAAGTGGAGTGGTCCCAAAAAATGACTAAAACAATATGTGAGGTGAATAAACATGAACAAATGAGATATATATATATATGTAAATGTCTACATTGTGCCATCAACGCTTCTCCTGTTTGACGTTTTCTCACAGGTGATCAGAGCGCGCGTGAAAGATCTCATGATCCCCAGGTATAAAATCGTGGTCCTGGTCCACATCGGCCAGCAGGCGGGACAGAGCATGCAGATGAGCAGCCGCTGCCTGTGGGACGCGACCACCGACAGTTTTGCCTGCTACTCTTTCACGAATAGCTCTCTGTTCGGAGTAGCAACTGTATATGGCGTTTACTTTGAGTGATATCTTTCTATTTTTCCTGGTAAATGTTTCGTATGTTTTGTCACGTACAAATGCTCGTGAGTAAAACTTTTTGATGTTTTGTTTTCTTTTATTATCCATTCACTGGGAACAGGACAAGGTCATTTATACAATGCATATTAAAAGACTGTAAATAACTGACGGCGGCCTCCGGTGGATCCTTCTAGCAGAGCATAAAAAGGTCACTCGTTTGACAGCCTATCTGACAGCACTCGTTTTTCAGGGCTTCGTTTTGGTCACGCCAGTGGCGGTCAATCGCTGGCAGGTTTGTCGTCTGACGCACGTGTGGCTCCGTGGTGCCTGTTGGGACATCAGAGGTTTTTAGATTTTTAGAATCTTTTTTTTTTGTTTGTTTGTTATCAAAGTAGGTGACTTAATGATACATTTCCATTCTATCCCATAAATCGCACGTGCTGCAATATGTTTACGTTTTAACTGATAATCTTTGTTTAGCTAATCGATGTAGCTAAATATTAGCTAAATATTCATAAATATTACTATAAATACTGTTGTTGCAGTGTGTATTTTATGTTAAAAAATGTGGTTGATTTTTGATTCAAAGCTTTTAAAGTAAAAAATGTTTCATTTTGTGTACTCACCCTGCTGCACAGCGTCCTCTCCCAGGAGTCTCCTCCACCTCGATCCTCCACAGGTGTACACCACCGCTCGAAGAAACGCCCTCCCACACAGCCTGAGCGTGTTTGTGTCATCCCGTGTGTCTACCTGTGCTGCACACAACACACACAGCAGCATGGCACACAAGTGTAAGGATTTCATGGCGCTAAGCTCCTCTAATTTACTCGTTACCCCTGTGTTTGTTGATGGGACTTTGTTGACCCTGTGTCCCTTTATAACAGCTACTCTACGCTGATGTCACACACCGTCCAGGGAGGCTTTCCCGAAAAGAGTTTATTGACTGACGTGATCATCACGGGCTTTTAGTAGCAAATGTGTGGGAATCTATGCCATGTTATGATTATGATTGTTGTGATCGCTGATTAACTAAATGTCAGAGAAGTAAATGCTCTTTTTATTGTCTAAACTGCGGGCTCTTTATTGCAGTGGATTAGGTTAAGTGTCTCTTAATGGGGATATGGAGATTCCAGTTTCTACCAAAGGCTGTGATGATAGCTCTTCACATAGCAACATAGTGGAGCTTGTGGTCACTATCGTGATAGGACAGGAGATAAAAAATGCACTAATCAAACTGTATTCTGTCATGGAAAAGAGATGATCTAAATGCAGTCACTGACCAAATAGAGATATGCAGTATAACCCAATAACACGCCATATACTATTGACTATAACCAGCGTAGTACAGGTTATTTTAAGATGCAGGTAGAAAAATAATGCACAAAAGCGAATGGAACACTAAGATGCTAATGCTGTTTTGGCTCATTACAAACCTTTATAATGCACAAAAGCGAATGGAACACTATGATACTAATGCAGTTTTGGCTTATTACAAACCTTTTTTTTGTTTTGTTTTTACAATATATTTTATTGTTCAACAAGACAAAAGTCTCTTGGTAGTCCAGAGATTATTGATCCATTATTGGTCTATTTTAATCAGTAGTATATATCGAGTAATGCCGGAGATAAGTGATAAACACAGGCGGTGAACAGAACTGTATTTATTTTTCATAAATGATTTTCTGATATTTAGTCTCTTGGTAGTCCAGAGATTATTGATCCATTATTGGTCTATTTCAATCTGTAGTATTTATCGAGTAATGCCGTATTATTAAGATATTATCAATACTTGAAGTTTGTTGCAAATAAGACAAAACAATGAGCAGGGTTTCTAGGGCCAGTTTCTACTGATGACTGCTTAAATTGGTAGTTTTGTGTGCTTTTACATGAGACAAATTAAATTTTTAGGCATATTCTAGTTGTTTAAGTTAATCTGAAAGAATATCAACACACTCATAAACGCTATTTTAAATCTAAAAATCACAAGTGAGAAGAACATAACGGATAAACACACTACAAAATACATGTGGGCGGGGCTCCACATCCGGGGACTTCTGCTGACCCCTGAGGTGACCCTGTAGGATCGCAAACATGGCGGAGGTAAGTCTGAAATGAATATTCGGAAAAATATAAAAATTAGATATCTTAAAAAACTTTAATATCTCGGTCGTGTTTTCGCCGTGGTATTTAAAGGTAATATCTCAAAAGCATCCCGCTTATCTTGACCGTTACCGACTGTGGACAATAACATGTTTAGTAAAAAAGTTCGGATTTTTAGCTCAGGTTAGCAGCGTTAGCTTTGACGGTATAGCGCTGCGGCGTTAGCTGCGATACTTCGCGGTTTCAGTTTCATACTTTATTTACTCCGCTTACATACGTAATACTGTGTAAATAAATGGCGAAAAGTTCAACTTCACTGGTGTGAATTACGTTAAATTTGCTCCTCAGTTGCAGGTGCTGGAATAATTTGAACTTGGTTAGATTAGCTACATTTATAAAAGTAGAATTAGCATTAACTTGTATTGTAAGTTAGCCAGTGGAGCTAGTCAATAACATAGTTAGCACTAAGTGTAGATAAACACAGGCGGTAAACAGAGCTGTATTTATTTTCACATCTATGTATTCACTCTAAAAAATGTTATTTAAAAAAAAATATTATTAAGATGTGGTGTACAGCTTTTATTTGTTTTCTTCTCTTGTTTCACTGCAGACGAGTCAGAGCGCGCTTTTCTTCCAGTTTTCCTTCGTACCTCCTGTACGTTAAACACGGACAAATAGATGTATTTCATAAACTTGTATGCATATGTTGTTGTGGAAAGCTTAATAAACAATGGCTATCACGTCAATAGGGAATTCGTGCGTATTGGTCTATTGTCTATTTGCGTTTTTCAATACCCGTTGTATTGCTGTTGTATTTCTTTAATTAGATACGTATCTATATGTGCAGTTTCCAACAAATAAACAGTGTTTTGGTCAGTAACAGCCATCACAATGTTGTTGCGTATTTGAACAAACCTACACTATTTATTACCGATGGATGTGACTTCTGTAACTGTCTGAAAGTGAAGCCCTTCAAAAAGAAGGTTGTCAACAAGTTGTCACGGCACTGAAAGTTACGTTTTAGCAGTCGATTTTATTTGCATAACCTTGAGCTTCAACTGCATCCTGGACATTATTTTGAGTCCTAATTTTCTGCCATGACAATTCATTTATTGCATTTTTTTGTAACGTGACAGGAAATGGATGCATTTGCGTCCATGTTCACAAAAACAGTTTAACTATAGCGATATGCCATATTTTATTGTGATATATTTGCAGCTAAAAAACATGTTGCTTGATGGTTTTTTTATTTTTATTTTCCAGCCCTCCCTTGGTAATTCAAGCCCAGGTACGTTTGTCTGAAAATATATTTTCTTTCTGTACTTTACTTTCTACGGAACTACTATTATTACAATAATAATTCTATAAATACTAACTTAGAATTAGAGACATGCACTTGGACTCAAAATTCTGCAATTCTTCCTGTTGGTTCCAATAAATGGTTATACGCTTTTGGTTTCCTCACGGTGACAGTTGATTATTTTTATATTTAAACCCATCTAACGGGACAAATCTAATTATTACTTTCCATATTGAAAGAATGTGCCGATGTTATTTAATTACTTGTGCTAGTAAAACCACTAAACGTTAGCTTTAGTAGTACAGAGAGATTACTAGTGTTTCTTTTTTTTTTTTTTTTTGATTTTTCTCAACAAACATTCCTCTGTTAACCCTGTTATTGCTTATTATGTGCTGATGATATTTGTTCAATGTTTTTATTGTTCATGTTTCCTCTCTATTTTTCCTACTTTTCTAGGGGGTTCAGTAGGTTCCGATGACCACGATTTTGACCCTTCGGCAGAGATGCTTGTTCACGACTTTGATGACGAGCGAACCCTGGATGAGGAGGAACTGATGGAGACAACAGAGGACACCCATGCAAATGAGATTGAAGATCTTGCGCGGGTTTGTATTCATTTTCAGCACCCTTTTTTTTGTTTTCTTAGTCCTGTGCCTTTGTCAAGTTAACCAGTATTCTTTTCCTGAAAAAGGAGGGTGAAATGCCCATTCACGAGCTGCTGAGTTTGTACGGTTACGGAGGTGGATCGACAGCAGATGAGGACGATGAAGAAGAAGAGGAGGAGGCAGAAGAGGAAGAAGAAGAAGATGAAGAGGACGATGAGGAAGAAGAGCTAGACAATGACGAGAGCAGCAGAAGCACAGAAGAGTTGAAGAGAAATGAGGTGTGTGAGGTTTTAGCAATAGTTGCTGTTTTCAAAGAAAATAGATGATTTTTGTTCTGGTGATTATTTTCATATTTTAGCAGCATTTACAATCTGCTCTGTGTCACAGAGTTTGGCCGAGAAGAACTCAACCGGACCAGTGAATGTGACCAAGACGACGTCTGAGATCCGCACGCGCTCAGTCAGATCCCTTGGCACGGCAGATATGATCCGAGCTCAGAAGTTAATGTATTTTGAGGGTAATTTTTTTTTGTCTTTTTCTACTTCATTTTTTGTTGCCGTCTGTTTTGTGACACATGACATAAAAAATCTTCTCCCATCTATTCTCAGGGAATAATGATGCAGAAGAGGAGTCGGACGAAGATGAGGACTATGTTCCTTCGGAAGATTGGAAAAAGGTACTTTTGAGAACTTCTTTGGTCCAGACAAGATACTATTTTGGCCCCAATATTTTTTTTGATTTTGCCAAAACCCAATTTTCTCAGCAAATACTCCAAAATATTTGCTAAAACACGTTGGTGTGCACTCAAAATATTTTAACTACATTTGGTGACTTATTTCACATTTTCATCAAATCAAACTGTTTTTTTTTTTTTCAACAGGAAATTATGGTAGGCTCTATGTATCAGGCAGAGACCCCTGTGGGCCTGTGTAAATATAAGGAGAATGAAAAAGGTGAGTTTCTTTGCTCTTCTTTTGACAAACACAAATGACATTTCTAGCGTTAATTATACAGTGACAAAATAGACGTCACTGTTTGATGCTAATTCTACCTACAGTTTACGAAAACGACGACCAGTTATTGTGGAACCCAGAGTGTCTTCCTGAAGGCAAAGTCGTGGAGTTTTTAACAGAAGCCTCTAGAAGAACAGGAGAAGAGAAGGGAGTGGACGCCATTCCTGAGGGATCTCATATCAAAGACAATGAGCAGGTGAGATCAAAACGTTTCCTGCATTCAATTTGCGGACCAAGAAATATTTATTTGATGGATGGGTATGGTGGACAGAGCTGCTAATTGTGGATGTTTATATTTTAATTTTGCTCAATAAATGTGATCAAAAGACCAAAACTGTATAATGGAAAATAGTTGTTTCGATTTTTTTTTTCTTCGCCATAGATGGCGCTTCACTGTTGTCCAAATTAATTACTGTGCATCTTTGCGTATTAGCCGATTCGCGCATAGGCCGACCCCTGAAAATTGATCCCAAAATGGCGATTATTTACAAAAACTCGTGTATGAGCCGGCCATAATGTTTTCATTTTTTGCCGTGGTAAAAATATTTTTTGGTGTTTTAAATTTGGGATATATGCGAGTACGTACGGTACTAAAATGTTTGACTATGATTTTTTTTTCATTCCACATAATGTTGCAATAATAATGCAAATTTATGGACGTTATTATATAGTGCTCAGTTTCTAATTTAACAAGTAAGAGACTTTTGTGTCATTTTATTCGTTAATAGAAACCGTGCCACGTGTTTTATTTGGAACAATGTATTTCACGCAAACGTATTTGGTCCTGTCTCTCTTGCAGGCGTTATATGAGCTGGTGAAATGTGACTTTGATACAGAGGAAGCTTTAAGAAGATTAAGGTTCAATGTGAAAGCAGCCAGAGGTAGGTCAAGAAAAACTGATCTAAAATGAAACCTTTTTTTTAAATATGTAGCGTGACTCAGACTCTGTTTTTGTTACAGAAGAGATTTCAGTGTGGACTGAAGAGGAATGCAGAAATTTTGAACAAGGACTCAAGTCTTACGGGAAAGACTTTAATTTAATACAGGCCAATAAGGTAACAGTCGTTTTAAATATTAACTGTGTTCAATGTGTGTGTGTGTGTGTGTGTGTGTTGGGTCCGTTTTACTGTGCGTTAACGCGCGTGTACTCTTGGCCGATCTGTGCCTCTGTGCAGTGTGTTCTTTGACGGTGTCTGTGTTTATGTCTGCATGTCATGACCTTCATCTGTGATGATGTGTTGACTCCGTCTCCTCAAATGATGCTAATAATGGTACTTTCATGTCTGCTGAATCAAATCTTTCAGGTGAGAACTAGGTCTGTAGGAGATTGTGTGGCCTTTTATTACATGTGGAAGAAGTCTGAGCGTTATGATTTCTTTGCACAGCAAACCAGACTTGGGAAAAGAAAATACAACCTTCATCCTGGTGTCACGTAAGTCGGCGTTTGATTTTTGGATTATTAAAAAAAAATAAAATGAAAATTGTGCTCAACTTTGTTAGGTGTTTTGACAAGAATTTGCAACTTTCCTGGCAAGACAATTACAGTTTTTATTTGAGACTAATCCAAATAGTGGAATTATTAATATGGAAAAATCCCAAGAAAATATGACAGAGTTGCTAAGGGATGGATGGTAGAATTATTGGATATACAGAGGGCGTCATTCCTCCCGTCAATCAATATGTTGAAATATTTTACTGATCTGTGTCACCAGAGACTACATGGACAGGTTATTAGATGAGACGGAAAGCGCGACGTCCAGCAGAGCCGCCTCACCTCCTCCTAACACTTCAAGCAGCAGCACAAGCCACTCAGAGAAGGAGGACAGCAGCAGTCAAAACGGTCAGGCTCCAAAGCCGCACATGGGTTCTTGTAAGATTTCCAGCGCTATGAATGAATCTCTTTTTAGTCTTAACTCTGAAAATTTGTCCGTCAGGTATCGCAGGTCACATTTCCAACCACCCAATAGATGGCGCCACATTGCCTTCAGTGAAACAAGTAAAACTAGAACCAGCTCAGTCCAACGGCCCCTCCAGCCTTAAGGTGGAACCTCCTCCAATTTTGGACAACAACTCCAACGGCTGCAGCCAGCCCGCAGTCCAGACATTCAGCCACGATAGCAACGGGTCTCTGGAGCCCCTGCTAGATCACAGAGACACAGTGGTGGTGACACAAGACAGACCGCCCAAGAAGTGCAGGATGGAGACCGACCCGTTAGGCCAAAGTGAGGTGGAACCTCCCAGAGTGCAAGAGAACTGAAGGGTCCAGACCACCGGTGGTTTTTCACTTTAAATGCTTTCCAGGAGGTTGGACATAAACATTCAGATTTAAGACTGTAGCGCCTCCCTCTGGTCTGAAAGCACAACATCAACTCCACCCATCAAATGACCGTCAACAAAGCTCATCCCAAAGTACTGCAGCTCCACAACGTTAAACATAAAAAAAAAACAAAAAAAACAACATCCTGCCCCATGTTTGGAGACTTAGAAAGAAAAATCTTGCCAAGAATTCTTTCTTTTCTTTATACCCCTCGTTCTATTTTTTACACAGAGATATTTATATTTTTAAACTAGAGAAATCTATAATGGGTAATTAACTGTTCAAGCCATTTTTTAAAAAAAAAATCTGATGAGGCAGATGTGTTTGTTTTTTTTTGTCTTAGCAGATGATGTTTGTCTTAAAGAGGCAGAGAGACAGGACAGGACAGGTCGGTCAATGACGTCGTTGACTTGCCGAAGTTGCACTTTGATTGTATGGAATTGTTCCTCATTGTTACCTGATCAGCGGCGGTGACAGGAATTAAAAAAAAAAAAAACCCAAACAAACAAACAAACCCAGCAGACTTAACATTTTCACTCCAGTCCACCTGTGCAGCCTCTGTCCTGGCTTGTTTGTACGTGATAAATAAACCGATGGGCGTGTCCCCTCCCGCTGGTTTGTTTGTGTAAAGCAGCTGACATCAGTGATGTCCCGTATACGATAGTGTTAGAAGACGGCTGTATTTTGAGATTTTCATAGTCGATGCTTTGCTCAAGGCTTTGTTTCTACTAGACGGAATGTCGCCGGTTTTTAAATGTAAAGATTGTATAGATTTCTTACCTTGGATAGTTTTTTAATACCACGTTTTTCTCTGGGGGTTTTTTTTTTCTGGTCTTCCTCGTAGGCTTTGCTTATGTGGTTCTGAGATGGATGTAATACTGTATGTACCCATTCCCCTGCCCCCCCCACCCTCCCCACCCACTCCCTTTGTTTGGCAGCACTTCTTATTCCTGTTGCAGATTCCTTATTGTGCATAAAATTCCACTTTGTTAATTGTGCCGCATATCGCGTCATTTCAAACATTACGTACTGTACCGTACCACAGCGTGCGGCCTCGGTACACGAGCTGTGCAGCCGAATGAATCAACGACATTTTTTTTAACCTAATGTTTTAAAAAAATCAGTTTCTCTTTGAACAATGTTAGTCCATGTAGTCTCTCTTTCTCTCTCTGTTTGTTTTTAATGTTTTTTTCGTTTATGTACATGACATGAATTAAAATGAAAGGTATACCAAGACTTGCTATGGATGGAATAACATTAGCTATATTTAATAAATGTAATAAACATGTCCAGGTGTGATCGCTTCTTTTGAATGTAAATTTACTTTATTTACAGTTTTTGATGAGGAATTGTCCCCAACTCTCAGTCTGCTGATTGGTATCAGTCTGTGGTACTAGGTCACAGAGGGGAAAAAATATAAAAATTTATCCAGTTATTTCCATTTACTCTATTTAAAAATAACCCGGCAGTGTTTTCAGATGTTTTAGATACTAACTAAATAAAGTCTGAAACGGATGCCCGTTAAGTCTACCAGTATATTGCAGAGGAAGTGCTGGTAGATCATGAGCAATTTAAAATAAAAAAATAAAAACAAATACAGTTCTGCAGTGTGTAGTAGTGCCATACAGCTAGATACATTTTATCAGTACCCAAAAATATATTGTGTATATAGTTATAAGTTGAGTTTATATTAGTGACTATATTTGAATGTTTTCAGTGTAGGTAAATCACTTTAGCCTGGTCATTTGAATAGTAGCTGTCACGCCAAAAAAAAAAGTGTGGAAACCGTGGACTAAAAGATGTTGTATTTTGATACTCTGCTGTTCTTAACAATGTAATGCCAGCGTCTCCACACTCAGATCAATACAGCCCACCTCCGTTGATGTCGTCATCATCAGCAGAAGCCCCCGCACCAGGTAAAACATAGACTACTTTAGCTTTTTCCATGTACCTCCAATGTGTACCACTAGAGGGAGACAAAGTTCAACTAGTTGTATTTTTTACAACACTGTACTTGGCTTGGGAATAGATGGATAGATGGTATACTAAGATAATGATTGCTACGTCAAGAAGGTTCACAACCCTCCAATCCCTGACCGTCCTTAAATTTACAATTTTTTTAAAAAAAAATTAGGGACGCAATCAGTGTCATGTCCGTACTGAGGGGCGTTCAGGTACAATAGAAAAATATGAAAGATGGTAAACAAAAACGCTTTTGACAAAGGGTATGTGTTTAAATATAATAATCCCTTTAGGATCATTTTATTATTTTTTTTAAATTTATTTTCTTTATGTGACATATCCACTGGGATAGACTAGTATGGCACTGGTCCCTAGAGTTTATCCGTGTGTGCGTAAATACATTACGTTGTCATCCTGATACAAGGGAAAGCAGAGGCTGAAACCGGATGTGATATCCCGGGGCTTTATCTTCAAGAAAGAAAAAAAAAAAAAAAAAAAAAAAAGTCATCACCCATGTGACCACTGCTGCGCAGCACCACATGATGAATGTGGGTTCTCCCGGAGGATCACAAATTTCCCACACATGACCATGTGACACACTGGACCAGGGATGGGGAAACATTGGAAATTTGTTGCCCGTCTCTGTTGCATTTATTCTCCATTAAAATGACGAACTCCCCAAAACAACACCAGTGCCAAACTCTAAAAGCTTGGTCACAAATTTATAACAGTGCGAGGGCTTTTACACATCAGACGAGAGATGTCCATGTTTTGTTTGTTTTTTCCCACAGTGTCCTTACATTTCCTAAGGGTCACGGGAGGGTGAGGAGTAAAGAGGAGTAAAGTATTGTAATAAATATATATGTGGACAGTAGCAAATGTTGGTAGATCGTGTGAACGTTTGCCTGCATGTGTCAAACTCAAGGCCCGCGGGCCAAAGGTGGCCCGCCAAGTCATTTTTCTAGAATTAGTTTTTGATTTGGCCCGCCAAGTCATTTTTCTAGAATTAGTTTTTGATTGGGTTCGTTATACTCTGTCACGTGATTGCAGCCGTCGATCAAGATTTTATTTCAACTTGATTTATTCGGATGAAAGTGAAAGGTTACAGTTATTTAAGATTCAAAAGAGTAACAATAATTTGAAAACATTCCGATTTTGACTTCCTAATCAACCTAATCCTACTAAGTTAGCATTCGACTTATCCTAAATATCCTATTCTCTGCTGTACGGGAGAACAGCTTTGTAAACATTTTTTTTTAGTTTGACCTGTTTTTACCGGAACTTTCGCAGCAAATTTCTCGAGTCTCGCTGTTAACGAAACAACGAAATAAGAAGGGAATATCTCCCCATAGAGTTGTTGGTATGTTTAACGTTTGGCACATGGGAGCCTTTCAGTCTTATTCCAATAACACACGTTCACGGTTGACTTCTTAGAAAGGCTCCGGGAACTTGACTGTTGCCCAGCAGTCGGTTCCCTCAGCAGATGTGTTTGCCCATATTCAACAGACTGGGCCTGAACATTTGTCACTTACCTTTCACCCCCAAATGTCTAAGTGCTTGAAAATGACAAACATTTACTCTGTCGTACTTCGATAGTGGAAAGAGGAAGCAGCAGGTGTTGTTTTTCTGTCTATCCATCCATCCATGCATCCATCCATCCATCCATCCATCCATCCATCCAGGCATCCATCCATCCATCCATCCATCCATCCATCCATCTATCCATCTAGGCATCCATTCATGCATCCATCCATCGATTTATCTAATTTTGCCAATACAATTAGCTAAAATGTACAGTATAATAAAGCAGCTAAAATTACCCCCAAATTATAGAACAAAAATGTAAATTTCAAAGAATGTCAAAAAACAGATTCATACATTCCGAAAAAAGAAACCAAGCGACAAGCATCGTGTGACTGCAAAGCAGAAGAAGCAGACAGCCTTCATGACAACGATGCGTCATTTTCGTCCCGTTTCTCGTCAGCTCATTGACCCCCTGCCCCAGCGCCCCCCCTCTTCCCCCCCGACGACTATATTCCAGAATAGGATAAGCCAAATTAGTAGTGTCCATAATGAATCCCTTCAAAACATCAAAAAGTACCCAATTACCCAGAAGCCTCCCAGCATCTCACTGATCCTCGTTACCCCTGCTGCAGACCAGGGCATCGAGTGTGAAAAGTTTAGCCCCCCGTGGAGGTTTCTTTGAAAAATATTACAGTCGGATCGTTCCGAGAAGACGATCTAACCAACCACGGTCACTGGGTGCAGTCATGGCCGAGATGACTCAAGAAGACTCTCTCAGACGTACGTTGGTCATCCTCGCTGCGGCAGCAGGTGACCGGCTGCACTCTTGACTCTTAGATGCGTTTGCAGGAGCGAAGTATTTTAGGCCAGTGTCTGAGGGGAAGAAAAAAAAAAGAGAAAAATGAAGGAAACTGTTGTTCATGGACGTCTTCCAGATAAAGCCAGGGGTCAAATCATCTGGGAACTGCTGAGCCTATCTGGGAATTCCACTGTGCTGTTAACTTCCTGGCAATCAGGATTTGCCCGAGATGCGTTTCGCAATCAGGAAGCGAGAGGCGAGGGACACACTTTCACTTGGACATGTTTAATTGACCTGTCTGGACTAGCTTGATTTGATGAATACTGTTATTGTTGAAGCGCGTGTCGAAACAAACACGGTCCGAGACAAATTTAAGACCAAAAATAAGTCTATATTTGTATGATAAGTCATTGTGTGATTCCTACAAACGTCGTTCAGAATTAGATAACAAAACGGAAATAATGTAAATGATTCATTCTTTCTGTGCGGCGCCGGTCCGTGCTTTTATCCATACAAAATGGAAACTTGGCGGACCACATTTGGCCCCCGGACCTTGAGTTTGACACTATTTTCTCAGCGTTTTATGTAATAAAACATACAATAATGTCGTGCAGCGTTGGTAACTGAACTCAGTGGTTCAGTGAGACTGTGGATAAAAAGTGAATCCTCCCCAGTTTAACCACCAGGGGCTGAATCTTGAATCATATTTGATGATGAAAGAATCAACTCACATTATTAGCATTATATCTTGACTTAATTTAAATTTTAAAAAAATTGAAAAAATAAATAAATATTTAAATTTTAAAAAAATTGAAAAAAAAAATATAACAATTTACTATTCTAAAAATATTTTTTTTCTTATTCAGAAAACATGATATAAATTGTATTTTAAACAATTTCCTTCTGTTATGTGTGTTTTTCTGGGGACACGCAATTCCTACAAAATTATTGCTCGTCATTTCCCATCCTGCAAAACAGATGTCTGGGGTAAAAAAAAAAAAAAATTGCCGACTGTTAGATGTAAACCTGAGCTAGTGTTTGTTCAATAACTGCTAATGATATTTATCCGTGTGATAATTTGGGTTGTTAGATGCTGACAATGTATCTGTGCCGCTGAGCAGTTTCATTTTCCACCGACCCGTCCGTTTATCTATGTGACTGGATGAACTCTCATGTCTCATTTCCAACTTTCTCTCAAAGCCTCCTTTTTCTTTGGAAACTGTGTCAAGGACCTATTCTGCCGTTAGGCAACACAAAGCGTTAGGTTGCGTAACATCAATCCACATTAGCATTGCTAAATGACAGCCATACACCGGGAGGTGAAGAGGAGAGCTGACAATGGCAGTAACTGTCTGGGTTAGTGGGCTAGGCTTTAACAGCAACTCCAAATAGAAATCATTACAGATCCTGACTAATGACATGGTGTTATTTTGATCATTTGATTTTTTTTTTATGGTGCAATAATTTGTGTCAATTTACTTTTCTTTAATCTTTAATCCTACATCATCTGCCTTATAATATAATAAATCTTCTCACCTTTTCTCCACTTCATTGTCCTGTACAAAATGATCGCATTGTTACATTTTAAAACGTCAATTTTGCCTCATGAAAAGTCCGATTTTTTTTTTTACTATGTTGCATCGCTTCTTTCATCGCATTTTACCCGCATTTTTTTTTTTTTACATATGATGCATTTCATCTATTGGTACTGACTCTCCTATCTCTCCTGTCTATCTGTCCTATCCAATCAAATCACATCTATGTTTTCATCAGATAATTACATCACATTTCCCCCTCCCCTCATCTCTCTTCGTCATTTAGATTCCATTATTCTCTTGCTTTAAAACACTGATTCAAGTGAAGCCTTGCAGCTGCCTCTTCCCAACAGCTCCACTACACTACACCAGGAGGCCTAGCAAAAAACACTCCCTGACGAAGGAGGCTCCTACTTCCTGGTAAGAGCCTCCTCTGTCGGCGTGGCCAGTGAGCCCAGTCAAGCATATCAGACAATGCAGTGAGTTCGCTGGAAAGCGCCAGGTCACCAGGCTTCCAGCAGAGGAAGCTGTTCCTGCGCTTTAAATAGACTTCCTCCGTGTCTAATGAGTGAAAAATGAACCTCCCAGCTCAGACTAACAATGGGAACGCTCTCTCTCTCTCTCTCTCTTTAAAAGGCTATATTTGGACTTCATCCATCTATAAACAATAGTATTTTAATTTTTTTCACCATAAGGCAGTTTACAGTGTCAACAATGGCGGTCTAGACAGGTAGTAGCGCTTCTTGATGATGTTAGAAACCACGTCGCGTCATCCATTACTGTTACAGTATCAGAAACAGAATTACCAAGAATATATATTTGTATAAATAATATTTTCTAAACATTTTACAAAAGACATATTCTATATAAAAGACATATTATATTTAGTATTCGGTAAATATTGAACTGCATCGTCCGTTCAGTGAATAACCTTCCACTTTTCATTCATTGTCTATCATTCTATTATCGCTAACGCACTGTATATGTGTGTAAATACATATACGTACATATATGTGTGTATATATTTAAATATATGTATATATGTACATACATGTATGAGTATAAACAGTACGTATATATATGTATATGTATCCATACGTATATATTATAGCTGTATATATGCATATATATATTCTCAATATATATGTACATATATATTTATGTTATTCTATTTTCAAATCCCTGTTAATTCTAGCCAGCGATGTAATAATACCATAATAGTAATAAATGTGTCTTTTGTAATCCATATTCAGTGCAATATAAAAATATTCATTTATATTTCACTGTCATATAACTGATGTGGGTCATTGTGACGTTGGATACATGAGGAATGAAATCACTCTCCATTAAATATAATACGTTTGACAAAAGCCCGCAATTAGGTTATTTTCTTGTCTCACTCACTCACACACACTCACTCACTCACTCACACTCCGTCTCCCAAAGCTCTTTTGGCCAGTGGGAATTAACGGTCACTGCAAGTCTCATGCAGGATGAATTCGCCAGTAGTCAGGAAGTTGTGTGGAAAAAGTCCGCCGAGGTGTTTCTTCATCCTCCCACTCGACGAAGCCCATTGGCCGGGAGATGTGACATCACAGTGTGGGCTGCGCTATAAAGTGTCCCTCTCCGTGCGGAGAAGGGCAGACCAAGCTGAGGCTAAGAACAGAGCTCTGTGACTGATACTTCAGGAAGGAGCCCTCTGGGAATATTCACCATGTGCAGAGGACTGGAAGCACTTCCGATCACCTGCCTGGAGAGGTGAGACTCCAAACACGAACGCCGCAAAGATGTGTTTATGTGACTTATTTGCGACAGCTCTGGTAACATTTCCTTCTTTAATCTGCACAGGGCAAAGGAGCTGAAAGCTCTCATCGGAAGTTTGCTCCTGAAGTCGGATCACATCACCGGCACGGGGCAGTTCAAGAGGTGCGACAAACCCAGGTGACACAAAACCCCACCATTCATTCTGCGTTTTCTGAAGAAATCAAATCCCCAAAACAGGAAACTGACGGTTGTTTTTCAAATTCTGCAGGTTGAACTGCGACAATCCTCCCGAATGGAAAGAGTCCTTTGAAAAGCTGCTGTCCAGCCAAAGTAAGTAGGACTCGTGTGTGTGAAAACATACGTGTCTGGGAGCTGAGAAGGTACTGACTCCCGTCTCCCGCTTCTGTCTCTAGGTGGGCTGTGCTTATTCAGAGTGTTCCTCGTGTCGGAATTCAGCGAGGAAAACATTGCCTTCTACCTGGCTTGCGAGGACTACCGAGCAACCAAACCTTCAAAGCTGTCCACGAAGGCGAAGAAAATCTATGATGAGTTCATCGGAGCGGAGGCGCCCAGAGAGGTAAATGATTCGCGACAAAGCGTGAAGACATTTGTCCTGTTAGCTTTGTACAGTTGTCCACACCGTTGTTGTCCCGATGTTCACGTCTTCTGTTCCTCCCCAGGTCAATCTGGACCACGCGACAAAAGCCATCACCAAGGAGCTGCTGGAGAACCCCAGCCGGTCGTCCTTCGACCTGGCCCAGTCCAAAATCTACGCCCTGATGGAGAAGGACTGCTACCCTCGCTTCCTCAAGTCCTCCACGTATCTGGAGCTCTGCAGAAAGTCCAAGACGGGATAAGAACCGTAGGGGGCCCCCGGGACTCCTCGGATCCAACCACGCTCCTCGAAGGCATCGGACGCAACGGCCCGAGACCGAAGAAGGTCGCGGCGCCGTCGATGTCTCGATCCAAGGGGGGTTTCGCGTGAAGGCGTCGTCGACGTCGCAGAGTCAAGCACTGGCGAGAGTCCGAGCTCGACGCTGGACAAGAGCCGAAGGAGGCGTACTTGAACATGAACTCGAGAAATGACACACACACACACACACACCAACAACCAAAACTACCACTGGAAGACATGTCCACGGCATAGCTGTTTATTTATTTATTTATTTATGAAGTGAATTTTTACTACCTGAATGTTCCGTTTTCTACGTGTTAATCTGAAGTACTGTACCGACGGGTGGGGGCGGGGGGTGGGGGACGAAGTGAATAAAAGTTTTTACCTCAAACTCAAATGGAGACGTTCATTTTTTTTTTTCCCACATGGAAAAATCACACTTGCGACTTAAGCTGCAAACTCACTCCTTCCACTTCACACGTAGGTGAAGGGTTCAATTCCAGGGGCAGGCAGTGGAAGGCATGTGGAGTGTCTGCTCACACTGCCGCTGACCAATCCCTGTCCCCGTCCGGTATCACGTAAAAAATCTGAAAGAATCTCGAAGGCTTTAGTATTCAGTACATTCAGAGGGGTGTCAAACATAAGGCCCGTGGGCCAAAAGTGGCCCGCTCGGTTGTTCAATCCGGCCCGCTGGATGAATTTTGACAAACGCTCCATGTACGGTTTGTTTTATTAAATAGATATATTTTCTAATGTACTTTAACGTCTTTGCATGCTAACTAATGGGAATTGTCTCACATTTGTATTTCTTAAAAAAAAAAATTTTAAAAATTGCTTAAAGTAAGGGTGTCAAACATAGGGCCCGCGGGCCAAAACCTGCCCGCGCGAGCGTTCAATACGGCCCGCTTGATCATTTTGAAACACGTCATATTCTTAATATAAAATTATATTAAATTTCACGGCTTAAAATGTAAGATTAAATTTCTTCGGAAAAAAAAAAAAAAGCCACAGAACAAAGGTGTGTGAAATTATTCCGAGGAACGTCTGGGTTCGAGGTCAGTTTCTATGGCGACGACGAACCTCCATGGGTGTCTTTGTTTACCGCCTCAGCCTCCACTCAGCCTTTGAGCCACGGCGGCAGCAGATCCGTCCGATCGCTCCGCAAACCTTTTCCCTTCTGATTCAGTCCGTCATCATCGCAGCTCATCTCTGCCCACGCGTTCCTTCACGTAGCAACCGTCTCCTGACTAAACCCTGGGCCTCTAAAGAGCTGAGGGCAAATTCATTAAAGGCACTGTCACAGCGGAGGGAAACAACAGCCTACGCCACACATATTTCCCCCCCCACTAGTGATGAGTAATGATTCTCCTGAACCTTGTGAAGAAACAAGAATTTTTAATCTCGCGTCCAGCGTAGTGTAACATACAATATTTGTGCTCATTTTTAAAAATGAGTTTGAATGGCAAAGAAACTGTAGTATATATATATAATATAATATATAATATATAGTAAATCAGGGGTGTCAAACATACGGCCCGTGGCCCAAAACCAGTCCACTAAGGGGTTCAATCCGGTCCGCTTGATTAATTTTAAGAAGTGAAGAAATTCGCACTTCACGTCAAAATATATTTCATTAAATATGAATATTTTCTAATATACTTCTACCGCAGGAAAACAACGGGGGGAATAAACCATTTTCTTATTGTTATTTATTTATAATTATGTTATGATTGTACCGGTCCGTCCCACTTGACGCCTAATCAGGCCGTATGTGTCCCCCGAACCAAGATGAGTTTCACAACCTTGGGATAAATCTTTTAGTGTAGCTTTTTAGCAATTTTAGCGTTAGCTATAAGTTAGCGATAATTCATAGCAAAACAAATAGCTGGATTCTAGCTATTAGGATTAACCTCCAAATATGTAGATAGAGTAAATTGCCAGCTGCTAAAAACGCGTTCACGATTTTTTTTTTTTTTTTTTATAAAAAGTGAAAAACTAAACACAACCTTCTCCAAGTCTTACTGCAGGCCTTAGACTCAGGACATTAGAAAAAAACATTGCGAAATCCTCTGTTTGATCAAGTGACTTCATACTCTCCTGAAACCATGCAGGATTATGTGTCAGCGCCAGCACGACCCACACCTGGATGACTTTCGTGGAAGAGGCGTTAGCCCTGGAGTGGGTTTGTGTGCGATTGACGCTGAGCGTCTGTGAATCACGGATCCGTCTTTAATGACAGGTGACATTGTGATATGGAGTTCAACTCGATTTGAGTGGTGTATTAACAAAGAGATGTTGCCAAGGTGACCAGGTTACCGAGGTAACAGGCCCCGGGGCTGAGCGCCGCCGTCTTCCTCAAATACGGAAACAAAGAATTCAAATTCCACATTGAAAAGGAAACTCGTTTTCACTCGTTTTTAATGCTTGAATCACTACATCATCATCAGCATAAATACATTTTTTTTTCTTTAGTATTTATACATCCTTTTTTCCTTCGTTGACGTTGCCGTTGACGTTGAGGTTGTTCTTCCTGTTTTTTGTTTTTCTGCTTTCTCGGAGGTTAAAAACAGTATCAGCCGGGGACGAAGTTATAAATAGTGAATGTTATTGTTATAAATAAAATGGGAAACACCCTGGACTTGTTCTTGGCCCACTCTTAGTGTCAGTCTACATTCATTCCTGGAGTTTATCGGCTAAACACGACGGCGTTTACCCAACGGAATGACTCAGTGGTTTCACTAATGCACGGCTCGACTCTGTGTTGACTTTCAATGAAAACACACACAAAAAAAAATCGGATCCAGAACTGACACCGCGCCATCCTTGATCAAAATTTTTATTTTTTTTTAATAATATTTTTTTCTGTAAAAAACCTCTTCTGATTAACTCACAAATTAATTCTATTGTAATATTGCAATAATAATATATATTTTTTAATGTTTATATGTGTTCAATAAAAATTATAAAATTATAATGTCACATCAAATATGCAATATTTTTTATCCGGATAAAACAGTAAATTCCAAAGAGTTATTTATCAAAACATCATCTAGTAGTAACGTTTATACATCTTGCGTCATTAGAAAAAAAAAATATATTTTTATAAATTAATCAAGCGTTTTTATCACGTTTGTTGAATAAGGGTTAGAAAAGGGGAGAAAAAAAACAAAACAATATATCACAAATATATCACTTTTTATGTTTTGTTTATTTGTTCCCAAAACTATAGAATGTAAGTGGAGTTTGACTGAAATGTTGGTGAGAAAATAGTGAACTTGAAAAGAACCGGGACATTAATCAGATGCAAATGGAGCGCACGATAAACAGCCTCGGATTTAACGAGGTTTATGAAGTCCTTTGAAGGGAACTTGAAGATGTTCGGATGGACCAGTTCATGGAGAGTTGAACCGGGCAGCCATCAACCACGCACGTTGCTAGCTTAGCGCTAAATTAGCACTAAATGTCGATTAAAAAGCTCCAAAATACCATGTTTTGATGCAAAGAAGTATAAATATTCACATTTAATGAAATATCATTTGAAAAAAAAACATCACGGACATGATGTCAGAATTAATCAAATGGGCCGGAATAAACCCTCGTTCACATTTAATGAAATATCATTTGACATGATGTCAGAATTAATCAAACGGGCCGGAATAAACCCTCCGGCGGGCCGGTTTTGGTCCGCGGGCCGTATGTTTGGCATCCGTGCTTTAACCTGGGCTCATTAATAACAACCGGGCGAAAACATGGCAAAAACGAGTCATTATCGACGCATCATTGAGAACACTTGGAGCCTGTACTCACTGTACACGACTACTGACGTTTTTTTTTTTTCCAATAGAAGCCATTGCTGTGTAAACATCTGAAAACGGTGTCAACAGCCACTCTCGCAGCTTGAACCAGGTTGGCAAATGCCTGTGAAAACGGTAGGGAAGCAGGAACTGGACGCACCAGGCCAGACGTTAAACACACATTGGATATTACAATATCTCTGTGATTTCCAGAGAACAAATTGTTCCTGGGAAACGTGTGCTTAACAAAACTAAATTGTTGTTCTTCCTTCGAAGAAGAAGAAAAAAAAAACAAACCTGCAACAGACTGCCTTACAAGGGCAGCCTGTTTAATCATGCTTAAATGACCAGAACACACATGTTTTTAATGTGAAAAAAAAAAACAAAAACAAAACTGCCATCACATTTTTATCTCGCGCACCTCCTAGTGGCAGCTCTGTGCATCTGTACCCAACTGTTAGAGCAGTAATAAGTGAAAGGAAGGCGAATATAGAGTGCAAGTTAAATTTGCATCATACGTTGATTGTTAGATTAATCAGATTAATGCAGGGGTGTCAAATATACGGCACGCGGGCCAAAACCGGCCCGCTAGGTTGTTCAATCCGGCCCGCTTGATGAATTTTGAAAATAAAAAAGCAAAAAAAAGCACGTTTAGGATATTTTTTGTAAAATTATATTTCACGGAATATACATAATAATATAATAATTACATATATTATCTAATACATTAATGCATGAAAAAATTTGAAAAAAAATGATTTAGTGTTATTGCTACTTAATTAGGTTATGATTGTACAATATATTATGATATATTTATACATACATATATACATACACATAATGTAAATAGTAGTCCACAGGAAAGCTCAGCAGCTTGTTCCCTGTGAAGCCACTAGATGTCACACGACACCCACACGACAGGTGGAGCTGCTGCTGCATCCTCCTCCTCCTCCACTCATTTAAATGTTTTTTTTATTTATTTTTTTATAAATAACCAAGTCTCTGTTTCTCTTTGATGACCTCACACTCTGAGCCATCAATCAATTAATCAATAAATATATTGTGCGTCTCCAGAAACACCCGTCGTGCGTCATCGGGACCGCGTCAGCTCGCACCGTGAAGTAACGAGCGTGGTGAGCGCGCGCACACAGATCTCCCCCCCAAAGCCGTCCACCCGCCTCACACACACACAGAGAGACCACACAATCGATCCGTCTCGACCCGGAGCGCGTCCACCCGGATGACCCTGCGGAGTGACGCGTCTCACCGTTGACGGTGCGCGAGGGAGCAGCGGAAGCGGCGGTGCAGGAGATGGACGCGTTTGTTGTTGTCGTCTGCAGCTCCGTGTCGGTGCTGGGGTAAGACACGGTAAAACCAGCAACAACTGAGAAGAAGAAGAAGAAGAAGAACCGTCGTTGGAGCGATGCCGGGCGTTACCAAGTACAATTTGGTGGACGACGTGCACGATCTGAGGATCCCCATGCACAACGAGGAGGTGTTCAAACACGGGGTCTCCTTCGAGGCGAAGGTAGGAACCTCGGTGGAGACTTCCATTCATTCGCACCGTGCACTGAACGTATCCGAGTTCAGTCAACTTTAAATAACCTCGTAGCGTTTTTCCTCGATCTGCAAATACGATACGATGCACGATCATTTACAACGCCTTCACCTAATTTTTTTTTTTTTTTTTTTGCCAGTCTCTTTACAGCTTTGGACATGTTATGTTGTGTTATGTTTCATTCATTCATTCAATGGAACTGCGCCCTCTATGGGGTAACCTTTGTATAAAGGGGAACAGTTTAAAAAAAAAAAAATTAACAAAAAATAAATAAAAACAAAACAAAACAAAAAGCTTCTAGATGCATACTTATGTGAAAATATGAATTTTCCCCGCGTACCACTAGAGAGCACTCGTACCACAGTTTGAGAACCACTGACCTTTACAGTATAGAGCAGTAGAAGAAAAAATATTAGATAATTTAGTACAACTCATTTTGGGTCAGGGGTCATGTCAAGTGGGCCGGACCAGTACGATCATAACATAATTAAGTATTTCTCCTTTGTTTTCCTGCAATTAAGTTCACATTTATTAGAAAACCTTCATATAAATAAATAAATATAATTTGACGAAACATCGTCAACAGGAGGTGTTTGTGCATTTTTCTATTTTTTTTTCACTTTCGTAATTCATCAAGCGGGCCGGATTGAACGCCCCGGCGGGCCGATTTTGGCCCGCGGGCCGTATGTTCGACACCTGTGATTATTTAGCTGAATCTGCAGATGACAAATTCGTACGACGACATCGCATCGACTTTAACCTCTCTCGCATTTCGCAGTACATCGGCAGTCTGGAGGTGGGACGTCCTGGGAGTCGGATGGAGATAGTCGCCGCGATGAGGAGGATTAGAGTAAGACGTTTTCTCTCTCTCCCTCTCCTGGTCCCTCTCTCTTGTTTGTTCTTTTCACCTTGTGTACTTTTCTCATAAGATGTCTTGCTCTCCTCCACCTCCTCCTCCTCCTCCTCCTCCTGCTCTTCGTCCTCCTGCATAAATCACCGGTCCTGGCTGAAAACCACACTCTGGGCAGATTCTCTGGTGCTGTCAGCAGTGGTTTAAATCACAGCAGGATTCATAAGGCACCGTGTACTTTATGACCCGGGGAGTGACACAGCACGCGGCTTTATATTTGTCATCCTATTAGACCAACCTATAGCCTCCTTGTAATTTTTCAAGGCCAACCGCCGCGTTTGGAAATACAGCACTGCAACATCTTTTCATTAACCCTCCCCGGTCGGCGGTGTGGTCTTGGACAGAAAGCACGTCGCAGAGACGGATTTAGCTTTTTATCAGCTCTGGGATCTAATCTAACATCCCAAGTGACTGTGTCACTCGAGGTTCAGCCCCGACCTAAGATCTTAATCCGAAAGATTTGTGCACAGTGTCGGGATATTGATTTACTCTTGCCCTGCATTTGTGTGATTTTTTTTTGTTTTGTTTTGATTTTTATCTCCAAATAATTTCAGTTTTTTTTTACCAGGCAAACAAGCCTATTTATTAACACGTGAAATTACATGGTTGTGGGAGGCTCCGTCATGGTTTGGGGGCTGCATTTCTGTATTTCTGCCAGATCATCTGGTCACAAATGTACCTATAAAGTAGTAAACATACCTGACTCTATGTCACTCAGCTACGCTAACACAGTGCTAACATCTGACTTACGCCGGGGAGCCATAATGAAGGGCAATGTAGCGAATGTAGCGCGATCCGTTGCATAGGATACAACGTAAGCAAAGATGTCTCCCGCGTGAAGATGTAGTTGCGAAATTTGTTCTTTAGGTCACATCATCTGGGCGAAACCCAAGCATTGATAGCGCCCGCTATCGGGTTATCATTATGGGAAGAAAAAACCAAAAATCGATTCATAGCGATATTGCGTAATTAAGCTAATATCGGCCGATAATATCGGTTGGCAGCTACGTATTTTACGTGACGGTTATTCTTCCTTTGACAGTACGAATTCAAGCTGAAGAACATCAAGAAAAAGAAAGTCAACATCGTGGTGTCCACTGATTACATCAAAGTGCTTTTACGCAAGAAAAAGAAGGTCAGTGTTACAGGCTACACGGAACGTTTTCGCATTTCCGCCGACGCTTCACTCACATCACGGAGGATTTTTTTTTTTTTTCTCTTTTGTTGGGTCAGAGAAAAGGAAGTTCGTGGGATGAAAGTACCTTCTTGGTGGCAGAGGATCCAATCTACAGGTAAGAAATCCAGAGATTCCGAAGTTTTTAATCACTAGTTAAGGGTCTTGGAAGAACAAAAAGGCACATTTGTGAAATCATCATTTTTTCCCTCCGCAGGATTTTCTACGTCTCACATGACGCTCAAGACCTGAAGATCTTCAGTTACATAGCGAGAGATGGACAGAACAACGTGTTCCGCTGTTACGTGTTCAAGTCCAAGAGGAAGGTAGGTTTCTGTTTCATGAAAAAAAATATACGAAAAAAAAAGAATGACTAATCTGAGTACGAGGTGACGATGCTGATGTACTTTTGAGGATTTTACTGCAGAGCTGTGTATCAGTGTGTACTGTGTAGCCTGTCTGTTTTTTTTCTTCCCTCTGTGTCTCGCCAACTTCATTTCTGAAAAGCACTATTTGGCGGTCACTGATAGGTCAGTGGATGCAGGGTGGCCTGTTGTTTACTGGAACAACTTGCTGATTGGATGTACTGTTTTTTTTTGCTAAAACGGGGTTGTCAGACATATGGCTCGTGGGCCAAAATCAGCCCTCTAGGAGGTTTAATCCGGCCCGCCTGATGAATTTTGAATGTTAAAAAAAATACGCAAACACTTCATGACGTTTTCTCAATTGATATTTCATTAAATAATTATATTTTTAATATACAGATACCGTATTTTCCGGACCATAAGTCGCCCTTCTTTTCATCCTTTGGCTGGGTTTGCGACTTATATTTTAAAATATATAATTTCACGTTCGTTATTTTCACACTGACAGCCACTAGAGGGCACTCTAGAGGATTTTTTTTTTTTTTATCATTGCTCCTTGTAGCCCATCAGGGATTTTTTTTCTTTTTTACTTGACATTTTCACGCAAGATTAAGGTGTGGAGAGGTTGAGGGAAAAGAATCAATTTCATAACTGTTCTTGGTTTTCCCCTTTTCCCATTTGTTATGATGGAGTACACTGAAGCATCAGCAACTCTGAGATATTGACTCAGGCGCCCACAGATCGGTTAATGTTCCAGGAGGCTGATAGCTGTATTAAATATTAAAGGCAAACTTTAATGAAAATGAGAACGTGAGGAATAAAGACTCAGCAAACTCTGCAAAACAAAGACAAAGAATGAAAGCAGGAAAGCTATTGTTAACCATAGGCGACAAAATGTTCACGCATTTTCTTAGAAAGATAAGAGAAATAAGCGTATTTTTGAATAAAAATATATTTTTGCACGTATACATCATCAGGAACACCGCAGCACCCTACCAAACAAAAATCTCACAAAAAGTATATGTGATGAAATATAATAATATTCCAGTTTAAATGTACTAAAAATGTACTCCCGTTTAGTTGAAGACAACACTGATATACCGGCAGGAATTGAAGAAAGGGACTGACAAAGATCTTCTTCAACAGCTCTGATTATCTTTTCTTAGATTTTATAACCATCTGCTGCCACCTAGTGGAAGAGGATTGAATTGTTCTGCCTGTCACGCATTGACGAACAAAGAAAAAAATATTTGCAATAAATAAATAACCAACCTGTATTCAACCCGTCCAGTCTCAGGCCGTGAGGATTGTGAGGACGGTGGGTCAGGCGTTCGACGTGTGTCACCAGCTGACTCTGCAGCAGAAAGACGACGAAAAGGACGAGGAGGACGGAAAGGACGAACAGTCGGAGGCTCCGTCGGGTTAGCAACACACACACACACAAACCTGCTCTTTGTCTTTTCTGCGCACACGCGCTAACATCCGACGACAAGCTGTCATTACGCAAACGGTAGACCTTTCTGTGGTTCACTTTGACTGCTGATAGGTTGGAGGGAATTGTGCAGAAAACAGTTCAACTAAGACAGGGCTGGCAAACATATGGTCCGCGGGCCAAAACCGGCTCGCTAGGACAGTGTTTCCTAAACTTATTTTCCAGGGACCCATATGTTAAAAGTCACAAACATTCGCGACCCAAGTCAATAGACATTATTCGTAAACTCCTAGGAAACATGATGCGAGACGACCCAAAAAAAAACCCACCTGAGGGTCGCGACCCAGCCTTTGGGAAACAATGCACTAGAGGGTTTAATCCAGCCCTTATGTTCAGGATCTTTTTTTTTTCAATAAATATGAATATTTTTCTATAGTATTTATCTCTATATATGTATATTTATTCATAGGTAATCTTTATGATCTTTAGCTAAGATCGCTGCAGCTGCCTTCACCGCCTCTAGACACAGCATCTTGTTGACTGTACAGAGCTAAATAAGTGCTCCGTGTGTGTGTTTACAGGAAAGAAGAGGTCTGCACCGACGGAGGACACTGACCTTGAAGCCACCACGGAGGAGAGCATTGATTGCGTCTCTTCGTCAGACCTTGAGAAGAGCAGGAAGGATGATGCCGTCAGGAACGCCGCGGAGGTAGCGCACTCCCATCATTTCCAGTTTGTCACGCGGCGCGGCGCGATTCAAGGATCTCGCTTCGTTAAAATTGCATCGCCGTGAATCCGCCGCTTTGAGGTGGGAATTTTGAAGGTTGGCAGCCTCGCGGTTTCATGACACACGGTGATGCAAGGCAGGGTAATTTAAGGAATAGCCTGACAGTTCTTCACAAAAAAAAAAGAATTTTGTTGATTCACCATACCCTATATCATATTTATTTTAGTTAGTGGTTTGTGCCAAAACATACTCTCAGAATTATTCAAAAACTTTCACTTCATGGTATTCAATATCCAGAGGGTCTCAATTGTGGTTTTGTCAGTAATATCGTAGTACATATAGCACATTTTGCAGTTCCCCACTGATTGAGTGGGGACATATATGTATATATATATATATGTATATATTTTCAAACATATATATACATATATTTTCATATATGTATGTATATATGTATGTATATATGTGTATATATGTGTATATATGTATATATGTATGTATATGTATATATGTATGTATATATATATGTATACTGTATATGTATGTGTATATATATGTATATGTGTATGTGTATATATACATATTTGTCCTCTTCCCTGGAGGCATAAAATGAATTGAAAAATGCATTCTGGGAAAACATTATTCCCATATTGTGACTGCATTATTCCCCTGCACTTTTTCTTCCTCTCCCTCACCGACCACCTGTCGTAGCCAGATGAGCGATCGCCGGTTTATGTGAAACTTTGAGAACTACGTGACAGTCACAGTTTCTCTCCTGTCGGCCGCAGGTGTCTGACAGCCTGTCTCCCATCCTCGGAGCCTGCGTTACAGCTCCGTTGACGGCAGATGCTCCCTCCTCCGCGGAGCACGAGGTCCAGCTGCTCCACAAACAGCTGCAGCAGCAGGAGCAGCAGGCACTGGCAGCTGCGGCACAGGTAGGCCGATTCCACGTCACACGTTAACACTTGATAACACTTGACATGAGTGGCCTAAAAGTACTTGCGCGTGGTGCTGCTTTGTCCTTCTTCAGGTCCATGTGCTCCAGGAGCAGCTGTCGGTGGAGGTGTCCGCACGCAACGAAGCCCAAGCTCGAGTGCAGAGGCTGCTGCAGCAGAACACCGACCTGCTGCAACACATTTCCCTGCTGGTCAAACAGATACAGGAGCTGGAGCTCAAAGCCTCAGGCCGGTTGACGTCCAGTGAGTGCGGGGGGGAAAAAAAAAGAAAAAAAGTCTCCGGTTGACGTCCAGTGAGTGCGGGGGGAAAGAAAAAAAATCGATATCTTTCTCTACTTGCTTCGTGTCTTCCAGAATAAACATTAGATCATTTTTTATTTGCAAATGAATCTTTCACCCTCCTAAAGATTCCTCAGCTTCTCAACCACCTGTGCCAAGCAATTATTATCCCCTGGCCGCTTCCTCAGGAGGTTCACTGCTGCTCGCTTTTTTTTGCAATTAGCACGTTCTGCCAATGAAATGATAAACCATCAGATTTCCCCTCATCTTATCCTAATAATGTCTTTTTTTCTCTCTCCAGTGGGCTCACAGGACAGTCTCCTGGAGATCACTTTCCGAGCCCGACCCTCCCAGCAGAACTCCCTCACACCTTCGTCATCTATCGACCCTGTTGCTTCTCGATCTCAGCTCCAGATCAGTGACACTCCCTGGGTTTCCACGCTGCCCGGGCCTTATTCCCCAGGTACCACCGGTCCAGACTCCAGCCCTCTGAGTCTAAGCGGCAGCAGCAGCGGCGGCGTTCGTTTCGAACGTTTCCGTTTTTCCTCCCGTGCTCCGGACATCCAGGAGCAGGGCCGGGACTTGGGGGAGACCCCGAGCGACGGAGGCCCGGACGAGATCTCGCTGCTCGGGCAGCAGGTGCTCGGAGCCCTGGAGCTCCTACGGTTCAGAGAGTCGGGGATCGGGTCGGAGTACGAGTCGAACACCGACGAGAGCGACGATCGGGACAGCTGGGGAGCGGGCGAGGGCGCCGACGGGGGGGCGCGGCTCTCCAACGTGATGAATTCGGAGAGTCCGTCGGACTGTTTAGGGGAGGAGATGGCCGTGTAGAGGTGCTTTGATGTCAGTGTCCTGTTCCGATCGGAAACGGAGTGAAAAGGTTTTATTTGCAGGTATCGCGTAACCTGCATGGCGTCTTACGTACAAGTGTTGTCGTTGTTGAGTTACAGCGGTGGTTCCCTAACTAGCTCGAGGACAAAATGTTGTCTGTCTGCGTGTGTGTGTGTGTATGTGTGTTTTAGCTGACTTTGAAAATTAGAATGAGAAGAAAAGAGTCTGTTATATAAGAGCCAATTATTGTAAAATTAGAATGAGAAGAAAAGAGTCTGAAAAGAGCCAATTATTGCGCACTTTAAATTCTGCTTGTCAGGTTAATTATCCGTCGAGCCGAAGAAGGCGTTCACGATGGCTGTAGACGCATAAGTGGCTACGGCCTTCAGCAGAGGTGGGAAAAGTACTAAAAAAAATGTAATCAAGTAAAAGTATCTTTACTTTGCTTCAATTCTACTCAAGTAAAAGTACCCATCTAAAATGTACTACAATGAGTAAAAGTAAAAAAAAAATACTTTGAGTAAAAGTTACTTAGTTACATTACATTACTTGATACAAAAAAAGGACGAGGCATACATCCAATCGGCCACTAGTTGTTTTTTATAAACAGAGCAAACTAAGTGAAATTATTCTTTTATTTTAGTTATGAAATCTGTACGATATTTATTGGAGCTTTAAACCGGACTAGCATACAACTCTTAGCCTAGCTCGTACTAAATAAAGGACCACAGAATGACTGGGCAAAATGTTCATTGCGGACCAGAAGCTAGTATGTTGTTTTGCTGTTAGCAAGCAAGCCACTGTCTACAGATACCCGCAAATATTTTAAAAAAAAATTATTAAAAAAAAAAAAAAAACACAATTAAATTAATAAATTCGTTGGTGCTGTCCGTAGGTTTTCGGGATTTTCATTTTTTTTTCTCTGCTTCTGCTTCTCTTACGTACACCTTAGACGGCGTGTCCCTGCGTGTCAGCATGTGTGTGTGCGTTTGTGTGTGTGTGTGTGTGTGTGTGTGTGTGCTACAATTAAACATACAGTCAGTTCCATGCCTCTGCGCCGTTGCCTCTCGCCGGGCTTGCTTCACTGTGACTGTGTCTGCTTATGTTTTTGTGGCACACCCAGAGTTGGTCTTTTTATCTGTTTCCAATGAAGATTTGAGGAAAAATCAAGACTTTTGCCCAATATCTCTGAGCAAAAATTTTTTTTGGTTGTAAAAATGTGAAAAAAATGGTTGTACTTGATATGAGGAAAAATTACACATGATTTTAAAAACTAGAGAAAAAAAAAAACCAAACCAAAGCGTCATTTCCACTTTGTTTATAACACCACCAAATGCGACTTTATTTACTTTCTCTCCAAACTTTTTGGGCTTTTTTCTTCCAGCGTCTCTGTGTCTGCAGGTGCCGTCCTGCTACGCTGGCTCTGCTGCTTATAAACATTATTTATTAATGCCGTACTGCGGCAGTGATATAAAGTGCTGCAGCGGCGTCGCACCACCCTTCGGAGGACATTTTTGAAGCCCTGGTACCCGTCCAGAGAAAGACAGAGGCATATCAGGAACATCTACCACAGCAGCTCCCGCTCTGAGCCAAGGTCATGAATCGTTGATTTAGGGATCTGGGATTCTTCCAAAATGCCTCAATCTCTTCCTGCCTTTCCCCAGACTTCCCTCACCTCACTCGTCTTCCCCTCTCTCTTTTTCTCTTTCTCCCTCACTGTTCTTTCTTTCTTGAAATCCTAATGAATGCAAACCCAAAATTGACACACACTGTATAAATTCCACTGTCCATCTACCGTATTTTCCGGACTATATCTCGCTACAGGGTATAAGTTGCACTAGCCAGCTAGAGTGCCCTCTAGCGGCTGTCAGTGTGAAAATAACGAACATGTACATTTTCAGTGGTACAGGTTTAGCACATACTGGCACACATGCCTAGAGTGCCCTCTAGTGGCTG